GAGACCCTGCACCAAGAGGTATGAATGTAACGGAAACAAACAAAAGAGTCTAAAGGGAAACCTGAAAATACTTACCCCTCTTTGAAGCAGCTCTGGTAACTCTAGCAGGAGAGGATGAGGTTGCAGGAGCCGTTTTGGCAGCCGTAGAAAGAGAGAGGATGTTCTCAACTGTTGTTGATTTGGCCTTCGAAGCCATTCCTAACCCTATCAGTAAGTCATGAGGGTGTACGGATAGGCGCACTTCCATATTGGTTGTCCACCAGTTTTGAAATCTTTTCAGAGTCAGGCCAGAAGGAAGGAAGGGGACAAATTTGAACTCGCTCATTTCTTTCAATAGTTTGAATATTGCTTTTTCCAATTTTGATTTGGGTATTCTCAGGTCTCTGCTTGTAAGATGGACATTCGAGAGACTGCAGAGTGGAATGGGAATCCCCTGAGTTAACCCAAATTGCCTGGCAAATTGAGAAGGACAGTACACCTCAGCTATACACTTATATGCTCGAGGGTTTAAAGTGCCAATGAACATCTCTCTCGGTAGCAAAATAGAAGCCCACATGCCTTTGTGGGGTGTGGTAGAGCACTCTTTATCAGCTAAGAATGTTCATAGCCAAGCAGGTCCTTTGTTGGCATCAAAGGGGCAGAAGAAGGTAGCAGGTGGAGAAATAGGAAGTTGGTGGAAAAAGGTAAAGTAGTAGGCAAAGGAAGCATGATAAAGAACAACTCTGGCATATTTTTCCCCATAAGTGCTAGGGTCTTGAACAAGGAATCTTTAGCATTTGGGATGCAAATCAGTGAAGTAAGCAAAGAGCCAGAGTTGGAGCACCCAAAGGGGACCCCCTTGGTTCACATCAAGAGGTTTCTCGCAAAATTGGAAACAGGCTCTATAAACATGGCCTAAGAGATAAGGAGCCAGGGCTATGCGTTTTTTCAAAAAAAGTGCCTTCGCAAGTGGAGCGAACTCAGGCATAATCCTCTGAGATGATGTACAAAAGAGAAATTTGCACAACCTGTACAAAATGAAGGAAAAAAGTTCTCTATCTCTCACGGGACCTACCTTTTTATTTTCGGCCTTTACAAAATCACTGTAAGAGGAGTTTAAGGGTGGAAGAGAGAATTTAATAGGAAGGTCTAGATAACCGGGAGTGAAAGGAGAGCCAAGGGGTGAAAACCCTAAAAGATGGCAAATATCAAGAACGGTGGGAGTCATCATACCACACCGAAATTGGAAAAAATTGAAAGCCATGTTCCAAAAACAAAGAGCAGCGAGAATCAAGAAAAGGTCTTCAGGAATAATAAACCTGGAAAGACAGAGGGCATCGAGAATACAGAGCTCTTGTAGGTCGTCTTCTCGCGCAAGTACAACTCTGTCATACCATTCTTCCCATTCAGCTCTCAATGTCGGCCAGCAGTGATGAGGTCGGGTCACCCTCCAATTTCCCCAGTCGAGCCCTCCTTCATAGAGAAGAAAATGGTCCTCTAGATGAGGGTATAAAGCTGAAAGTTGAGCAGGAGCTTCTCGAAAGATGGGACCCAAAACGTATTCTTGTTTGGTGCTGTGACGAGGAACGAAGAGGCGGGCGTCTATGGCGCTTGACTCATCAGATGTTAACTTGGCGATCTCTTCATCAATACATCTTTTCAAAGCCATAGTTGAACTTATACGATCACCAGCAAGCACTTTCAAAGAAGAAGAGTCCATTGGTAGCAAGCAGCAATGAAGAGGCAAGGAAGAGGGAGTTAACAGAGGAAAAGGGTTTGTGTTTTGAGCGAGCGAGTGATTTCAGAGCACAAAATAAAAAGGGTTTTGAAAAAAACCTTTGTGTCTGAAAGATATATTGCGTTCGTTAAGTACTAAAAGTATAAATACGAAGAGTTTCCTTCAATATTAATACTTTTGGAGGGAAAAACACATCCCAGACGTTGAAGCCAACTTTGAAGTATAATATTTGGCTTCGAAACCAGATTTTGGCGCCAAAAGTCAAATAATAAACGGCTTTGAAACTAAGAAGCCAGCTTCGAAGTACATTTCATACATATGGATGTAAGAATGCTCAAGTATTCGTTTACTTCAAAAGGATTAAAGACCTGTTTTAGGTTTCTCAATGAAAGTAATGTCCTTCAAAGCAAAACTTGAGATCCCTTAAGGATGTGAATTGCTGTTCGAAATATCAAAACCATTAATTGGTTTATATATATTTAAGAAAGATTCTCTTTCTAGACTAAAAACAGCATGGACTATTCTTCGAAGCAAAAAATGGTCAATTTAAAATGGTTGATCATACTAAGCATGACCACATGTTGGTTATGGTTAAAACAAGCTTTAAGGGGTAAGATTATTAAATTCGAAGCACTAATTCTAAATGAAAATCAGCAAAAATTGTTAACTATATTTCATAAATTGGAAAGGTTCATTGTTGGTTCTTTTAGTATTTCATTTAAAACGATCAACTCCAAATTCGAAGGATAAGATTGTTCAGTTCGAAGTCCTGAATTTGCTTTAAAGACAAATGGGGACAAGATCAAACCATACCAAACAAAGAAAAAGTCCTGGTGGTATTAAAGCAAAAGCAATTACATCGAATGGCCCTATTTGGGTACAAACTCAAGCTCATAAAAATAGGGAATGGAATAAATAACAAGATTATGAAATTTGGTCCAACTATGATCAATGAATTTTTGTTCTTTCTTTATTCTATTCTTTATTTCTTCTAACATTGGCTGCATGAGTTGATGTGCTCTCACTTCATAAAAGAGCTCTTCAGCCTTTATTTCGAATGTTGTTTCTCTCAATCCTTGTTCCAATTCGTCTATATCCAAGTCATCCCAGTACATAGAATCTTTATTCTTGAAATCATCGAATTCTTCAATGAAGTTCTCTGTTTCGTACTGGGCATGAACTTGAAGGGATGAGAGTTGGTCTAAAGATTGTGTGGTGGCCATGGAAGTCCGATGCCAGTGGAGAAGTAATGGAAGTTGGTCCAAAAATATGTGAAGCTCTGCTTGGGCGAGGGGATTGAGGACATGACCCCGAGTTAGAATATTACAAGCCCATCGAAGGTTCTTGAGAGGGACTTTGTCCTCAAGAACATTGAAGGGCAAGTGAGAGAAAGCCGCGAACAGAAGTTGAGCTTGCTTCCGCTCAGCTGGATTAGGGGGAGGTGAAGGCTTGTAAGGTGAAAAGATCTTATCTGTGGAGAGGGCAAGCCTCAGTCTCTCTGTCCAGCGAGGATTTGGCAGAGGGGAAGGTGTGGATGCTTCTATTCTAGGAGATGGAGCAAGGGCAGAAGGAACAAGGGCATTAATATAATCAAGCCAGTCAGAAGAACAAATCTTCGCCTTCTGGGCTAAGAATGATGGATTGTACCCTTGTGTCTCTTCTAGGTGTCGGGCGGTGTGCACTGTCTTTGTAGGCATGGAGGATGTATACCATGCCACAAGCAGATTCTCCTCCAAACTGTGTCGATGATCAATGGGCACGTAGGGATAGACCACTGAGCTTCGCGCATAAGAAGGGAACTCTAAAGGGTCAGTAAACTCGAAAGTGATGGTTGATTCGTTCCCTCAAATCACAGGCCTCAGGTTTTGACCAGCTTGTCCAGTCAGAAGCCCTAGAAGAGGAAGAAGTTGCAGCCTTATCCCATGCAGATGGTTGTGAAGAAGAACTTCCCATATCCATATTTGCGACTTTCTGAATCAAAGGATTGAGAGCAGTTTGTTCGTAGTCCAAGGGTGAGTCAGAATAAATACTTCTCATGTCCATATTTGTAAGTTTCTAAATCAAAGGATTAAGGGCAATATGTTCGAAGTCCAAGGGTTGATAATTTGCAAAGGCATCCATGACCTGAATATAGAAAGGTGGGTAAAGGTGGCTAATTAATGCATGAAGGTTCTTTCGAGGAAGAACAACATTATTATATGACTCTTCGTGTGCTCGATCAATGGAGAGGAAAATTGATTTGGCCATAAAAAAAATGTATCAGTCTGTTCGAATACTGAGGTAATGGGGGTGTTCAAAAGATTGAAGGAGAGTTTAATGCAGATGATGAATGACAGTTGCATTTCTGGGAGAATGCAAAACCCATGCACGTTCTAAGACGTGGGAAAAAGACCTTGATTCACTAATATCACCAAGTATTGGGTATATTAGTACGGGCGATAATGTTGGCTACATATTTTGTACAAGCGCACTATAAGTCGACGCGTGGCAAAATAAGGATAATATAGGAAGACTATTTAAGTCTTCGATCCTGATCGTACATGTGGCAGTTAGTAGTGGTTATTACGAGATCTGAGTAGCAGTGGATCAACAAAGAGATGCAAGGTGATGTGGCTTCAACAGTTACTCACATTTCAAATTCAAATTTAGGAGGGAAGCCTAACTACAAGTAATGGCGATCATGGAGAAGCAGTTCGACGGTTAGAAATGCAGTTCGATGGTCATCCTTGAGCAGTATAAATAGCAGAGAAGGCCCCAGAAAAAGCCCCTAGACTCAGATCCAAAAAATCAGTCTTATTCTACTTATTTTCCTTTCTAGTTTTACATTTTCAGTCTTACATTTCCTGTTCTTTACATTCCTGTACTTTAAATTCTTGCACTGCACTTCGTTTATAGGAGTAGTTTTAGGTAGTAGATTGTCGCTGTAAATCTTTACGAGGTTGAGTTTGGATCATTGTAAGTTTTTTATTTTAATGAGATGATTCAATTGTTCTTCATTTAATTTGTTATCTTGTTTAATTCTCTTAAATCAAGCCACCAGTAAAAGTCCTCTTCATTGACGATGAAAGAACTAAATGGCAATTAATTTTTTATAAGAACTAATTGATCCTTGCTGGCACGCTCGCAATTATAAAAATAACCTTTAAAAGGCAAAAAGCTAACAATGATCTACACCAAACAATCCGATATAGATTTCCAAATCGAAATAAGTTATTATCAACATTTCTAAATAGGTGCACTTATTTTGAAGTAGAAAATTTTATCAAAAACATAATCCACTGATTTGCAAATTTTTTAAAAATTAAAAAATAGAAAATAAAAAAACCAAACCCACCCTTTCATTCCTAAGATGCTTGCTTAGAAAAAAAATTGTAAATTTGAAGTAGTATCTATCTTTGTAAATCTCACAAGCTCCCTAACTGTCTCGTTGGCGGTACCGATCGATGGCTTTTCTCTGTGTTTCTGGTATGTGTGTGTGCGTTTCTCTCTCTCTCTCTCTCTCTCTCTCTCTCTCTCTCTCTCTCTCTCCATGTATTTCTGATCTCTCTCGCTCTGTCTTTTATGTCAACTTTTTTTTGTTCTTTTAGGGCTTAATTGATTGATGTTGATTTTTTTTAATGAGAATTTGATATGCTAAATAAGAGATTTTCATTGATGGGTGGTTCAGGGAAATGGGTTATGTTGAAATTGGGTTATATAGTATATTCACCAAGTGTTTGATAAAATGTCAAAGTGAAAAACCTTCAATTGATTAGTATTACAGTTCATGTGCATGAAGTTGTTGCTAGGGCTCTAAATTTTGTCAAATTTTCAATTGCAGATTAAGCATACTATTTGTTCGGATTGGTTGTTCTACTTTTGGTTCTCCTGGTAATCCGAACTGCCCCTTTAACCTTGAATTGATTTAAAAGTTTTAATTTTGTATTATAAATCTAAGAGGACACTGCATTTCCCCAAACTGTTTAGCTGATGATCTCAGGTTTAACTTGTAAATGCTGCTGACTAGAAGTTCAAAATTAAACATTCAATTTTGAACTTCTAAAATACGAAGTTAGAGGTTAGAAGATGCATAAGAAATAGGAGGGGTTTTCAACATAAGGCACAATATGCTGCTGAAGTGACAAGTGATTTCGTTTAGATTTGAGAAGCAGTTGTGTTGTATATTGGTTGTATAAGTGTTGCTTCAATAGAATCTTTACCACACAAAAAAAAAAAAAAAAAAAAAAAAAAAGAAGAAGAAGTTTCTAAAAACCAACGTTAGTATTTTGAGATTTTTAAGTTGAAAAAGAAAATAAAATGAAAACTTGAAAAGTTTCTACCTTTGGAAGTACAACTACTTAGCATGTGAATTCAAATTTTAATCTAAATAAGGTGCAATTAAGTGGAAACAAATTGGACCTATGTAGTTAAACCCATCTCATGCTATAAAACATGCTTCTTGTTGTTTTTGTGAGGAAAAGGAATAGTGCTAATTATTGGAATTTGGAGTAATTTGTTAATGTAACAAAAAAGTAATAATACATGTTTCTTGTGTTGGTCACTTTTATTTTTTCAAAATTGGAAGTTTGTTTAACGATCATATAGGGATGCAGGTAATAGTAAATATTTCTATGCTATTAATCACTTGCTTGATATCAGTAATGTTTACTTTCCGATTTCTGCACTCTGTAGTTTAGGCCACATTAATATTTTTGTTCCGGCATAAATTGCCATAACAAACTGGAATCTCTGAAATTTTCTCATTGTCCACTAGAAGTCTATAACGACCAGCAAAGGCAATCTAGGAGATAGTGTATGAGTAGACTACAAAATCAATTTTGTTAAGTTATGTTGCCTTTACTTTCTCAATGATTGGACTTGCTGAACGTGATGTTTAGTATTTTTAATATACCAAAATATGACCACCAGTCCTATGTGATTTTGCAGAAATCACAAGATGCCCCCCAAAATTGCACAAATTCGCCTCGTAAGTTCACATCCTGAAGTTTATGAACCATGTGATGATTCATTTGCATTGGTTGATGCGCTCCTAGCTGATCGAACTAACTTGTTAGAGCATCGTCCAACACTCTGCATGGAAGTTGGTTGTGGCAGTGGGTATGTTATCACTTCACTAGCACTTATGCTTGGACAGGAGGCCTATGGGGCCTACTATATTGCCACTGACATCAACCCTCATGCGGTGAGAGTGACCAGTGAGACACTACAAGCACATGGGGTTCACGCAGATTTGATAACTACTGAAATTGCATCAGGACTGGAGAAGCGATTAGAAGGATTGGTGGATGTGATGGTTGTGAATCCACCTTATGTGCCAACACCTGAAGATGAAGTGGGTCGTGAAGGGATTGCCTCGGCTTGGGCTGGAGGAGAGAATGGTCGGAGTGTTATTGATAAAATATTGCCCATTGCTGACAAACTTATGTCTGACAGGGGCTGGTTGTATATGGTTACCCTTACAGCAAACAATCCCTCAGAAATATGCCTTCAAATGAGAGAGAAGGGTTATGCATCCAGAATTGTTGTGCAGAGATCAACTGAAGAGGAGAGTCTCCATGTTATTAAGTTTTGGCGAGATTTTGATAGTCAACCAGTGGGAAATGAAATGGGGACGGTGAACAAAATAGTTCCTGCAGGGGTCATTGAATCTCTGCTTTCACAAGTTCCTGGATTATCATTCTGGAGGTATGGCAACAGTAATAGTCGCTGATGTACCAAAAGGTAAAGAGGGGTTTTGTTCATTCCGGAAATATATCTATGTGCTGCCTTTTCAATCTCCATTTCATTTTTTAGTTTAGGATATGAATTTTAATGAAATGTGATAAATACATACAATTCATATAATGTGTTCTCCTGAGACTCCGTGGATGTGCACCTTTTTTCTATGCCTTTTTTAAGCTTTGAGGGATTTAAATTCTGCTTTGTCTCGATGATGCAAGCAAGACTCAGAATAAGCTTTTATAACCTATGTGTCACCACTATATATAGCTTGGACCTTCAAAATGAAAAAATTCTTGAAGTGAGAAACTATAATAGTACTAAAGATGTGGGAAGGAAGTTAAAGAAGGTATAATGTAAGAGTTAAGGACTTTACTGTATTTGCAATTCATGTACGATTCAGTATGCTAGGTGTGTATGAAGGGAATGTTTCAGTTTGCTTTATATGTGTTAGTGTCAGTCAGTTTGAGTTTGAGTGGGCTAAGGATCGTAATGATGTTCATTTCAATGGTAAAAGGCAGGATCCTATGCAGATAGTTCTGCAGATAAACTGCTATGGGATGGAAGAGACCGTTGCTTTTGATAAGGACTTGTTAAATGATTGCTTGGGCTTGATGATTTGAAATAGTAATGGATGCTTTGTAGCTGCAAAGGCAGTTTGTGTATTTAATGAGTGCTTTATCGTTGGCTGCTCGTTAAGGTCTTCAGTTGGGGAGAATTGGATCTTGGGGAAGAGAGTACTGTTCATATGCTGAAGGGTCAGGAGGGCAGTGAGCCATGAGGTTGCTGTTATTATTCAGGACTATTTACAGCTCCATTGTCAAGTAATTGTACCTTCAATTTTGTGAGAAAGGTACTTCAATGCAGTGTCTAATGTTGTAGCTGAAAAAGTTATTTTAGGGGAGGGTACTTAGGGTGGCAAACTAGCCGAATTGAACCTAGTAGTAAGGTTGTTCAAGCTTGGATTGAAAATTAAGTTTCAAAATGTGTTCAAGTTTGCCTTGCTTACTTTACATGACTGGCCAATCAACGCAAGTTTACCTTTAATAGCCTGGTTTGTTGGATCGTTTGGGAATTTTTTTTTGGAGAAGGTATTTAGGAGTTATTTAGTGCAACTTATAGAGACTGCTTATAATTTTTATTTATTTATTTTTTGGAAGGTATTTTTATATTTGATGTAGCTTATGCTTATAGCATATAAAGCAAAAATAACTAATAAGCTTAAAGAATCTAATTATCTGAAAGCTGGAAAAGTGTGCTTTTAACTTCTATGTTCTGATTATCAACATTAAACTTGAGAAGAATTACACCCAACATATACTCTAGAATAATCTTCAACGTGGGTCCCACCAGGGTTCCACACACAAATGTGTGATTACCCCCCATCGCCACACAAATGAGTATGAGTGGTTTAGAAGCTGTCTAGTATTTAACTTATTTGAGTTATTATAGGACAATTTGAATATGAAAACATCTTGTGATTAGTTGGAAAGAATGGGTAGTGACACTGCTGGTACAGCTGGTCTGAATTATTGACACTAACTTCTACTCCTCCATCCATTGGATTGGATGACCAGAGTAAATAATATGTATAACGATCATATGTATTATTAACTAATGAGTGATTTTATGCCATGATAATGAAGATTACGTGGTTGGGTTAGTGGAAAAATAAGCGTTCCATTTAATTTCATTTGTAATTTTTTATAAAATAGGGTTTGTTACATTCAATACTTGTTCGTGGGCCTTGTCCTTAGTTTATGCTTTGTTGATGAGAAATTAATTATAAATTAGATGATGGTAGCAAACAATAATCATCATATAATTAATTAAGATTGTCGTAGGGTATACCTTGTTATGTGTATTGCTTGTCACTTGGAATTAAAACTATTTTAATACCCAAAATTTTAAGGACCTGTATAAGTGTACACACACACGTAATTGTCCAAACTTGGCTTTCACTTTCTTTGTTGCTTGTGGGAAGACGCCTTAGGTTTGAATTGGTTGTACCCCCTTTAAAAAATCAATAAATAAATCGATTAATTAAAAAAAGTGGTCCACCAATCACTCAGATGTTGTTATTATGAATGGAGAGAGAATGGCTATGCATCATCTCCTTTGATTATCTTTGCTGACTCAGAAAATATCAATCAATGGATAGCCCTTTTGGCTTAGAATATTACCCTCTAAAAGAATAGGATATGCTGATGTGGTCAACCGATAAAATGTTCACCTTAAATAGGTAGGAGGGGGTGACCAACGTGTATTAGCTCTCCTTGGATGTGACCATAGGAGCCTTGTCTCTGGGGAGCTGGAGATGAGGAGGTCTAAATGAGCTCGGCAACACAAGGGTTTCACACAATCGAATTTCTATTTTTCGTTATTTAGGAGAGACGGAGATGAAAACTTTAACACATTCCTTACCTGACTTTGAAAAAAAAAAGGAAAAAGAAAAAATATTGCAAGTTAAAAGAAGAGACAATCTGAGACCTTATCTTAGTTATTTGTATATAGCAGAGTGTTCTTTGTCACTGAATTCACTGAAACGTCTAAAAGATTTTTAGGGAGAATGAGCGAATAATTTTAGGTTTCTACTGGTCTCGTAAATGAGTGAGAAAAAAATGTCTCGTGTATCCCTTTCTCCTTTTCAACCAATCCAAGAGTCCCGTTCATGCAAAAGTGGGTAGCCATTAAAGAAAAGCGGCTGTTGGATATTTGACCACACTTTTGCGCCCAAAAATTAGATACCAGACTTGTCTGAAGAGGGGGCAGGCGCCCTCTAAGTTTACCACCTCACTCACTAATAGATTATGAGGCACGTAGGCGAATAGGAACTGATCAAAAACTTGAACCGGACCTACAAGCCCTCGCTCAAAATGCACTTAAGTCATAGTTTGATCTTAATCCTATTGAGAATAGTGACAATGAGCCGGTGAACTTGTATGTCACCAAGTTCTTTTTATTTTTCTATTTATACAATTACTCGTGAGTTAAATCGTCGGTTTGCGCTATTTTTAGCTTTCTCTAGGCAGAAACACCCTTTTCTAAAGCTTAGTTTGGAAAAAAATATTGACATAGAGAGGGAAAACTGAGGACTCTATGGAACTGTAAAAAATATTACAAATTCACAAAACCAATAAATACAAAATGAACATGACACCTTTCAAAAACCAAATCAAAACAGTTTATATCACAAATTACACTGAAATAAAGGTAAAAGAACAAAGAATAACAAATCAAATTTCTTTTCCTCCTTAATCTGAAATAATATAGTTCCATCCTTGTTCATGTGATCATGGCTTCGGTGGCTCTGCCACCGCTGGTTCTTCCACCTTTGGTGGCTCTGTGGTGACCGGAGCTGGCTCTGCCACTGCTGGTTTAGCCTCAGCCACCACAACCACAACCTCTTCTTTCTTTTCCTCTTCAACCACTACCTCCTTCTCTTTGCCTTCTGCTGCAGTAGAGGTTTCTGCTGGTGGCTCCACCGCTTTCTCCTCAATGACTATAAATGTTGATACCTTCTCAAATACAAAGAAGATTGGTCCTGGAACCAATGTTGGCCCCAAAGTTGAAGCTGCTTCGCAAACTGGCTTCGATCCCGGAAACTCTGTAAGCACAATCCATAATTATATACTGTCTGATATCAATCGATATATGATCAGATATTGTTATATAAAATCATATATATATGTATATATATATAAATGAGATGAAGGAGAGGAGAAAGGTACCTATTTTAACAAGCTCATCAAGGAACTTCTGAACTCCAGCTGAGTGCGTCTTTAGACCCGCATCCTTGGGTTCCTTAACCAAAGCCTTTTTTTTTTTTTTTTTTTTAATTAGGACAAATCAGATGTTAGATGAATATATATATATATATATATAATGAATTAAAATCTAAAAAGAAGAGTGAAGTTTTGACAGGATAAATTGTAAAAAGTACACCATAATGCTCTTAAAAATGTTCTTTTAGATGATTAATTGAAATAAAGGACATTATATTTTGTTGAATATCTAATTTTTTAAAACTAACTTACATTTCAATAATGTAACCTATATTTACTCTTATTATATCACGTTTTAAATCCGTTTTAACAAATGATATGTGTTTCATATAACATACATATGTATACATAAGAAAAATTATTGCTTACTTTCATAGTATTATGTGACATTATTTATATGATACTTGTGACAATGAGAAATCACAACACACTAAGTTGGTCATCATTGGTTTCTTTCTTTTTTATTTATTTATTTTTTTTTTGAAGAAAGAAATTACCTTGATCTCAGCTGATGAAGCCTCATAGATTTCAACAACTTTAGGCTGGAGCTCAGTCTTCTTCTCTTCAAACTCTTTCGTGTATTCTTCCTAAAATACATATACAAGTGACATGTATATATATGATCAAAATATTCATTGAAGTGAAAAGGAGAGAAATTAAAGAATTGGAAATAACCTTAGAGTCATCGAAGGACTTGCAAGCTTCAGCAGCAGCAGCCTTCTTAGGACCATTTTTGTCAAAAACTTTCTTGATCTTTGGAAGAACCTTTGATTTCCAATAACCCATTCTGACCTCCTTTCTCAATCAACCCAAATAAGACCTAACAACAAAATAAAATCACACCAACATATATACAAACATTAATTATATATTAGAAGAAATCAAAAAATATTCACTGATATACCATTTGATACGAGATTTTGAACTTTGCATATATCGACCGATACTAATTGATAGCGAATGTGTTCATATCGCTGCTATCAATCGATATATGACTGTATCACCAGTATCGATATTGCATCCATCAATTTTTGCTTTCAAATTCAAAGGGAAAAAGATTTAGACAAGAATATTCAAGAATCTCCCTTTGTTAGTTCTCACTTACTTGCTAGGCTTCTTCTTGCAATCAAGAGAGACAGAGAAGGGAGAACTGTTTTGTGGCCAAGTGTGCTTCAAAATCAAGGCAAATATAAAGGAGGATTGAGTGTGTCAGCACGACAGTGTAGAAACTTGGCACCAAACAAGTCATAAGGTATTAACCCATGAGTTGGCCACTTAATTACATTAAATACCCATTTATATTCATTGATAACAAGCCAACGCACAAATGACATTGTTCTTGTCTGTATGCTTGTACAGCCAAGTGCCTAAAAAATTATGGTGGGACTCTGGTTGTTGGACCTTTCCAGGTGGTTTGGTGGTGTCCGGTTTCTCATTATTTTTTTTTTTTTGATGATTTTGTTATATTTTTTATTATAACAAGACATATTAGTGAAGTATAGAATTTAACGGTTCGAGTTAAAATTAAAAGAAAATGACATTAAAATTATACATCTTATACCGACATAATTTTACTTTAATTTTAAATAAATATTGTTGGATTACCACATCAAAATCATTGCAGAGATATCTTAATCTAGTTTAATGAGTAGGACATGATGTGAGATTCATGTTTATTGATTATGGGTCACGGACTCCTTGTTACTATGATTTCAGTGGGACCAGAGTCAGTTTAAAGCTCAAATCTATTCTCATGCAAATTTTCGTATCAATTTTTTTGCATTGTAAGACTGTATAAATTCTCTTTTATGGTCACATTTTGAGGGATTATTATGTATTCTACACCTTTTTATCCCCCCCTCCCCAAAAAACTCCCCCCAAAAAAAATCCATATGAATTTTTATCCAATAAAAAGTGTTTGAAAATTAAGTATATGGTTTAAAACTAAATTTGGATTGTATATAAAATGAATTCCATCTACACTTGATTTTCTAGGCATTTTGTGTACACTTTTTTTAAACATATTTTTATACCTTGTTAATTTGTAAATGATTAGAATAGGGTTTATATGGTAAATAAATGAGGAATCGCAGGGGTACAATGGGGAAGGGGTGACAGCTGGCAATATCAATCGTGGGACCCAAACAAACCTTAAGATGTTGATCTGTATTGTGTGGTGTGTTATCTGTAATCAAATGTATTATAATGTTTTTATTTTATTTATGTTTTCCCCCCTCTTATTTGTGTGGCTTGGGCTTCACAGCTTCATCACATGGCTTCGCTGGTATAACTATTGTATGCATTTATGTTAATTTCAAAATGGCCCTTCATTTTCATGGCCATCCACCAAGTTTGCCCTTGCTAGATAATGTGGACAATAACAGCAATGTTAGAAATACAAAATAAGACATGTCTTAAAAGAAGTAAGGTCCACGCATGATGCGGGACTCATATCTATATCTATACTATATATTAAGTAAAACAGAGTTTTAACCTCAAGTTTTGTGAGAGTTCCAATCTCTCAATCTAAATTTCCTGATTTTTTGATTTAAAAAAAAAAAACCTTAGCATTTATTAATTTCTCACAACCCCCAAGTTTTACCCTCATAATAACACTTTAATGCATTAAGAACAAGTATAAAAAAACTTCTTTGAAATCCAATACATATGAATTCCTTGAAAAGTCACAACACATATGATTATTATCCCTCATAATAACACTTTAATGCATTAAGAACAAGCATAAAAAAAATTCTTGAAAAGTCCAACACATATGATAATTATCAAAATATTAAACTTTAATATAATATAATATAAAAAAAGACATTTAATTATTTAAAAAATCCAACACATATGATTATTATCAAAATATTAAACTTTAATATAAAATAAAAAAGGAAAAAATGAAGACATTTAAAAAAAAAAACAAGACATTTAAAAATCGCAATTCACATATATGGATAATTGCAAATATATTAAGAAAAATGGGGTTTCTAAACCCCAAGCCTTGTGGGACCTCCAATCTCTCAATCTTAATTTTCTAAATTTTTGATTTAAAACAAAAAAAAAAAAACTCAGCATTTATTGATTTGGTTAAAATCCTCTGATCAGCATTTATTAACTTTTTCCAATCCACATGCCTGCATTTATTGATTTGGTCAAAATCCCTAATTAGCATTTAAAATCTCCTCATACAAATAATTATAGATACAGCCCGTGCATAAACCTTATGGGAGCTCTAATCTCTCAATCTTAATTTTAGAAATTTTTTTTTAAAAAAAAATATCTCAGCATTTATTGATTTAGTCAAAATCTCCTGATCAGCATTTATTAACTTTTTTCAATCCACATGCCTGCATTTATTGATTTGGTCAAAATCCCCTAATCAGCATTTAAAATCCCATCATACAAATAATTATAGATACAATCCATATATAGTTACTACAGTACCCTTTTCAACTTCTCCCATGCACTATGGTTAGTAATAAGATTGTTAAATTATTTTTATAAAAAATCTTTAAAAAAATCTAAAACAAATATAAATCCAACACATGATTATTATCAAAATATTAAACTTTAATATAATATAATAAAAAAAAGACATTTAATTCCTTGAAAAGTCCAACACAAATGATTATTATCAAAATATTAAACTTTAATATAATATAAAAAAAGAAAAAAAGAAGACATTTAAAAAAAAAACACTTAAAAATCATAATTCACATATATAGATAATTATAAATACAATAAAATAGGAGGACATTCATGTCTACACATTTTTTTTATAAGATCTCTTCCATTATAATAAGATATCACTTTATTTTTCTCATCTTATAATATATTATCTATACTATATATTAAACAAAAGGAGGTTTTTAACCCCCAAGGCCTGTGAGAGTTTCAATATCCCAATATGAATTTTCTAAATTTTTTATTTTTTATTTTTTATTTAAAAAAAATCTCAACATTTATTGATTTGGTTAAAATTCTCTGATAAGCATTTATTAAATTTTTTCAATCTACATGTCTTTCCACATGCCTGAATTTATTGATTTGGTCAAAATCCCCTAATTAGTATTTAAAATCCCATCATACACATAATTATAGATACAATCCATATATAGTTACTGCAGTACCCTTTTCAACTTCTCCTATACACTATGGTTAGTGATAAGATTATTAAATTATTTTTATAAAAAATCTTAAAAAAAATCTAAAACAAATATAAATCCAACACATATGATTATTATCAAAATATTAAATTTTAATATAATATAATAAAAAAAAGACATTTAATTCCTTGAAAAGTCCAATACAAATGATTATTATCAAAATATTAAACTTTAATATAATATAAAAAAAGAAAAAAAGAAGGCATTTAAAAAAAAACAATTAAAAATCACAATTCACATGTATAGATAATTATAAACACAATAAAATATGAGGGCATTCATGTCTACACGTTTTTTTTATAAGATCTCCTCCATTATAATAAGATAGCACTTTATTTCTCTCATCTTATAATATATATATTATCTATACTATATATTAAGCAAAAAGAGATTTTTAACCCCCAAGGCATGTGAGAGTTTCAATATCCCAATCTGAATTTTCTAAATTTTTTATTTTTTATTTAAAAAAAATCTCAGCATTTATTGATTTGGTCAAAATTCTCTGATCAGCATTTATTAAATTTTTTCAATCCATATGTCTTTCCACATGCCTGCATTTATTGATTTGGTCAAAATTCCCTAATCAGCATTTAAAATCCCATCATACAAATAATTATAAATACAATCCATGTATAGTTACTGCAGTACCTTTTTCAACTTCTCCCATACACTATGGTTAGTGATAAGATTGTTAAATTATTTTTATAAAAAATCTTTAAAAAAATCTAAAACAAATATAAAATATCTATAATTATCACGTGCATAGCACGGGTGATAAGCTAGTCTATACTATATATAACCTCAAGGCCTGTGGGAGCTCCAATCTCCTAATCCTAATTTTCTAATTTTTTGATTTTAAAAAAAAAAACCTCAACATTTATTGACTTCTCCCAACCCAACCTCAGCATTTATTGACTTCTCCTAACCCACAATCCCTTTTGACTTCTCTCATAATTATTGCAACACCCTTTTCAATTTCTCCCATATACTATGGTTACACACAAAAATAAAAAATAAAAAGATAAGAATTTAGCTATAGATCTCAAAAAGATATAACTTCTAAATTTGAATTATGATTTAATAATATAATTATGTATTTTTTTTATGTATATCTATCAAAATTTTAAATCACTTAATAGGAAAAATTAATCAATTTTCCAAAATTATCGATTTTTAATTTACAAAATAGATTAAAAAAAATTATTAACTGATTTATTTATTTAATAACAAAAATATTTCATAATCTCTCCCTCCTAATCTCTCTCACAAATTTTCAAAAAAAAAAAAATATTAAAACTTGCATTCATTTTCTCTTCCCCAAAAAATCAGATAATATTTTCTATTAAAGTTGTAGATATCTACCTATATTTTATATATTATATTATAACATAACCAAAAAAACTAAAAAACTAAAAAAAAAATCTTTAAAGTTTATCTAAATAAACTTTAAATCAATATAACTCACATGTCTATCACATATCTAACTCACATCATAACTTACTTAAATAATAATAATTAAAAAAAATGAAAATCACAGATAAATTAAATTTAAAAAAAAAAGATATCCACAACTCCATCTTAAATAAATTGAAAAAAAAATACCCGAATAGAAACCACACAAAAATAAAAAGAAAAGGAAAAAGATATATTTATCTATCTATTTATATATTAAGCAAAATGGAGTTTTTAACCCCCAAAACCTATGGGAGCTTTAATATCCCAATCTGAATTTTTAAAATTTTTTATTTAAAAAAAAAAAACTCAGCATTTATTGATTTGGTTAAAATCCCCTGATTAGTATTTATTAACTTTTTTCAATCCACATATCTTTCCACATGCCTGCAATTATTGATTTGGTCAAAATGTCCTAATCAGCATTTAAAATCCCCTCATACAAATAATTATAGATACAATTCGTGTATAGTTACTGCAATACCTTTTTCAACTTCTCCCATACATTATGGTTAGTGATAAGAAAAAAATCTTAAAAAACATAATTTATATATTAAAAAAATCTAAAACAAATATAAATATCTATAATTATCCCGTGCATAGCACAAGTGATAGGCTAGTATTATATAA